CAATCAACTGCTTTACCTTAGATAGAAAACTTTGAATCAATCTGACTGGATGATCTGGTGAACTGTAAAGTGCCTTGAGATGACGTGTTGTGAATTGGCGCTATAGAAATAAACTGAATTGAACTGAAACTCACAGCTAGAGATGCAGAAATACCAATATCAGCCCAGATGCCACACGCATGTACACATCCTGGATATAAGTATTAATTTCCCACTAACTGCTAGCATTAGTTTACAAACAAATACTGAGTCCAATAAGTTGAAGTAAAATGCCATACAGTTAAGAAAAGGCACAAAAAGAAAAATGAGCAGTAGAGAGGGCATCAGTGGGAGCAGCAGTTCTACAACAGCCGGACAAATGAATGGCAGCTAGCTTTTGGTGGCCAGCCTTTGGAGAAGGAGTTATGCAAGTGTGTGGGTGTATCACCCAGAGAAATAAGATGACAGGAAAAGCAGCCTCTGCTTGACTACAGTTGAATCAGTCGGTTACCTTAACATGCAGAATGGTCTGTAAGCAGAGCTCTGCATCTCCAAAAACGTAGCAAGCACAGATCAGAACAGGGATATTTTTAATGAAGGCGAACCATGAGTAATGTTCAGCAAAGTTAAGAGACATTAAGCCAGGCATACGCTGTATGATTTTTTTTTGCCGTTTTTGGGCCGATTCTCTGGTGGTGTGAGAGTTTTTTCGATCAGGCCGACTTTTACCACATTAGGAACCGTGAGGTCGGGAGAACATAAAACATGTTTGAAATTCAGTCGGAAGTCGTAAGGTTGTCGGAGGAAAATCGCTCAGTGGGCAAACAAGGATTCTTCTTCTTCCTCTCAGATGAAAACCCAGAACCATGGCGTAGGTGCAATGAGTGAAATGGAATCTTTCTGTAAAACTGACAGACCGTAGTAGCCACATTTGCTCAGCCATGTCTTTTTCCAAATACGTAGTCTCCTTTCCTTTTTAGGGCTTTCAGCACAAAATTGCCCAAATTGACAGAGCAGCGCGTTTCACTCTAGTGAGACGTTCCTCTTCTACTCATTCTGCTTCCGAATAGACGAGTCCGAGTAGCGCCATCTCACTGCGGAGCTGAGTCCGATGTAGTACAATGTGAGCAGGTAGATCGCATTAGAGTTTCGGGTCGCACAGTGTGAGAACAAACATCGAGAGCTATGAACTTTTAAACCCTGCGGTTTCGTCGTACAGTTTGAGCTGTAGCTGAAACGATTGAAAATATCGCACAGTGTATGCCCGGCTTTAAAAAAACAACCATATCCCGACTATACTTTACACTGAAGTTCATCTTTGTCTGCTTAGCTTATCGGAGAGTACGATAAAAAAATCTTCTTTAAAACTAATCTTCTATTTATAATCTGGGTCAGAAATCTAAACCAGGGAATACTACAATGTCAGTTCTTCCACAAGTTCTTAGGTTGAAAAACTCTTGCATCTGTGCATCCTTAGTCACAATATATCCGCATGCTCTCTTTTTAAACCACTCAACTACCCCTAGATCATTTTTTTTAAATGTAGTTCTCACACTGCTTTAAGAATTCATTCTCTCTCTCTCTTTCAAACCCCAGGACCTTTTAAGGATTGTTTCCAGGTGAGGAAGGCGGGTCACACCACAAACGGTATGTACCTCCTCAAGATCGACAACAGCGATCACCTGATCCAAGCCTGGTGTGAACATAGCCTCGACAACGGGGGATGGACGGTGTTACAAAAGAGGAAAGATGGCTCTGTCAACTTCTTTCGGAACTGGGACAACTATAAGGTAGGTTTAATAAACGGGATTCTGGTAAAGAAAGGACAGAGGAAACCTTCACCTTGTGAACCAGTCTGAGCAGTTCATTTCTGGGGCACTAAACAGGCATTATTCCATAAGGTTAGCCTCTTCCTGATAGAGCCAAGAATACGTCCTGAGAACTATAACAATTAGCTGCTAGCTTATGAGAATTTAAAGGGATTAATTACTGCTAAACATGCAGATGAAGAAAGATTATTTCCAGAAGGGAGAAACATGGATGACTATCAAATGGTTGCCCTTCCAGGGAATTAAAAAATACATCAAATCTAGATTTCAAAGCTACTGGTCTTGGCTTTTTTTTTAAAGGAAAATAAGACAAGAGTTTCCCTGGATTATTAAATCAGGTCTTGAAACCAATACTCAGAGTCTGAAAAAGAAAAAAAGAAGTCTGTCTAAGCAGCTCTGACTTTGCATTGCTCCATCAGACCTCTGACAGATCGCCGGGGCCTCAGACGTTTACCTAATTTGCTGAGTGAAAGGTTGTGAATCACATTACAGTCTGAACTGGAAGCAGATGTGCACTCATGTTGCTTGATTACAAACCTCAGCTATATTACGACGCAGGACTCTGAAATTTCATCAACCTGATTTAGGTTTATTGTTTGTGTTGTTTGGACATGGCTGCCCTCACTTACCGTGTTATAAAATGTTCTTGTCTTTCCCCAGTTAACAAAACCACAGTAACTAAGCTTAAGTAGGATTCATTCCATGCTACAAAAAAAAGCCAATAATATTTAAAACTGACTTCCTTTGCATGCAGAAAGGGTTTGGCAACATAGACGGTGAACACTGGCTCGGGCTGGACAACATCTACAACTTGGCGAAGCAGGGTGACTATAAGCTGATGGTGGAGCTGGAAGACTGGGCGGGGAAGAAGGTATACGCCGAGTACAGCAGCTTTTACCTGGAGCCTGAAAAGGAGGGTTACAAGCTGAGGCTGGGGACCTACCAAGGAAATGCTGGGGACTCCTTCAGCAGCAACAACGGCAAACAGTTCACCACACTTGACCGGGACAGGGACGAATTCGGCGGTAGGTCATTGTACCAGAAGTGTTACTGTTAAATACCTACTAATTCGCCTGGCTAAACCAGTGTCCTTCTTTCCTTTAGGCAACTGTGCACACTTCCATAAGGGTGGCTGGTGGTACAACGCCTGCGGTCAAACCAACTTAAACGGCGTTTGGTACAGCGGAGGAGTTTACCGCAGCAAATTTCAGGATGGGGTGTTCTGGGCGGCCTATGGAGGCGGTTTTTATTCTCTAAAGTCTGTCCGTCTCATGATCCGGCCAATTGACTGACTTTGAAATGTGGTTATCGCTTGCAGATCTTCATCTACACATTAATTATTAATATAAAAGGTAGAATCTTTCCAAAACAGTTAAAAATGACTGCCCTGACTATGACCTGGATAACTGAGAATCTTTACCAGCAAAAAGGTAGAATCAGACATTTCTATCATTAGATAACAGAGTGGAGAAAAGGGAGTTGACATCTGCCTGTTGCAAGACAGTAAAGAGACTTCTTAAAGTATTGCCTTCCTAAAGAAATTACTCTCCTAGGAGATACTTGGTAATAGGCTATCAGTCTCCTCAAGGTCATTCTGTTAAGCCGGGCGTACACTGTACGACTTTTTTGGCCTTTTCAGGCCGATTCTCCTAACCTGACTCCGCCAGATGGATTTGCTCCGCATATCCATCTGGAAACCTTCCGTTGAAGTAATTTTAGGAAGGGGCGAAAATACTGGTTAGCTGATTGGCCTATGTTGGTGATAGACGGGCCCAATAAACCAATCAGATCAATGAAGCATATGACGTACTAACAGATTGATGACGAAAACACAACCACAAGCCAGGCTACTCTTGCCGAAACCAGTCGGGAGAAGAAATACTCTTAATTCCGATAAAACTTGTTCGTTAGCCACGCTAACGCTAGTTTCATCGGCTGAAGCCGCCATGTTCTTTAGACTGAACTGTCGCGCTTCTTGTTGCGTCACACCTCAACCCGCCTCAAAGCCAACGCTGATTGGACGTTCGTTTGGTGAACACTTCCAAAATTTCTTCAATGGAGAGTCTCCAGACTGATTTGCGAGTGAAACCTTGAAAGCTCGCGAGATCAGGATGGTCTCACGAGGCTAGGATTCTTCAGTTGTACAAGAATTTTTTCGATCGGGCCGAGTTTCAGCCTCATCATGAGTTCTGCTTCGTGTAGTATACAGGGGGTATCGATGGGTGATTAGTTTCTCACCTCCCGATCAGGAATTGTAAGGTCAGGAGAAAATCAAACATGTCTGAAATTCAGTCGGCCATCGCGAGGTGTTGGCGGAAAAATCCTGCTGTTGAAGAAGAGCAACCAGATTTACCAGAACCTCGAGCATTGCGCATGTGCAAACAAGGCAGTTCCTCCTCTTCCTCTGGATTGATGAGTCCGACCAGCGCCATCTCTAGGCGCTGAGTCCAACGTGTGGTTTTTAGACGTACGGTGTGAGCAGGTAGATCGCATCAGAGCGTCGGGTTGCATAGTATGAAAAAATGTATCTTGAGCTGTGAACTTTTAAACCCTGCATTTTTGTCGTACAGTTTGAATTGTAGCTGCATGCAACGATTGAAAATATCGCAGTGTATGCCCGGCTTTACTCTAATGTGCCTTACTTGATTCTGTCTTTTCAAGACCAAGTATTTTATAAAGGAGGAAATGAGATCCTGAGCAGCTAATGATGACTTATTGAAAGTAGTGCTTCTTAAATCGAGTGGCACCAGATATTTGTGTAACTCAGTCCTAAAGAGCGATGGGAATTTATCCTATTTTATTTTATAAATGGGAAAATGTCTAAAAGGAAACCCAACAATGGAGAAAAGATCTTGCTAGATACATTTTTTTTTTCCATAAAAAAAAAAAAAAATCAAATTCAGTTTAAAGTGAACTCAATGACGTGTGCTTGTCAAATGTGCATCAGGCTAAACTGGCTTTAGTATGTAAATATTGTTGGCTTTAACTGTTTAATTTAAATGAAAAAAAGGTATGACTCGACTCAGGCCCTATGTTGACAGTGTTGCCACTCCGCCATCATGTTATTTATCAACATATTTATAGTAACTGTAGTCATTCCTGACAATGCCATATCTATTCTTGTAACATTACAATTGTTAATATGTTTTATCTTGTGTACAGGTTCATTAAAAAAACTTCTTAATTGATGTACTAAGGGAAAATATAAAGAGTTAGGCTTTGAAAATGGATGGAAAAAATATGTGAATTTTCAGCCCTTCAAGACAAAAATAAAACATTTAAAAAATGTCTTTCAGTTGCACTTTTAGCAGTGTTCAGATGAACTGCAACACATGAACCCTGCAGAGGTACAATTGTTTTCTGACTTTTTGTGGTTGACCAATAAAAAGTAGTGCATGAAAGTGCATTATTGTGAGGTGAAAGGAAATTGGTACATGGCTTTTATTTCTTTTTCTCCAAAGTTGATCTTGAATAAAAAGAAAAAAAACCCAATTGCCTTAAATGGTCCCATCATTCCTTGTGTATAATTTATTCTAACCCAGATGCTCTGTGAAGGTCTCAGGGGTTTGTTAGAAAACACTAGGCAACTCCTTTTGGACAAACTGTATTCACCTGTTTCTAAAGGATCGCATCTATTTTGGAGTCTCAACATATTACCTGTATTTGCTTTTATTTTACATTTCATTGGTGAACCAAAGTAGCAGTAAGTAGAAAACAATCACCGTCAGTCATGAAAGGAAGTAATGCATTCTAAGACTGAGCTCTGGCATTTACAAGGTGATGAAAAAGTCTGAGCTTATTCGTATTGTTTTTATTACAATCTGAGCGCAGCAGGGGACAAATGAAACTTCTTAAAAATGACTTTTCTAGAGATTTTAGACAGATAAAACAGTTATTCTACTTGTAGAAAACGAATAGTGTTGTAGAGTAGCTTAATATGGTTAACTGACCAAGCTAAAAGAGGCTAACCTGTTATCTACTGAACAGCTAGCCACAGAGCTATCCCCCTTTATATCATAGTATAAAGGCCAATTTATACTTCTGACGCATAGCCTCTGCAACCATCAAATTTGTCTCTGTGCGCGACCATGCCCCCCACGCAGAGGTTCTGCAACCATTGTCAGGCACCTCAAAAAAATCCTGAAAACGCGTTGGACAGTTGCAAACCCGCGCAGACCCAAAGCGGAAGTGCACAGACAAAAAGCAGATGTGATTGGTCCTTGGTATGCCTTTTCCGGTTGTCTGTGTGGTCGTCCTTCTCGTTTCGGTGCGATCCGCTGATGTTCTCGCGAGATCTAGTACCTAAACCGGGCTATAAGCAGCTCATATCTACTGAACTGTTTCCCAGCAAACCTGTAGGGGGAGCTCTACATGTAGCCCCTGGAGAAGGGAAGAAGAAGAATGCTAGCTCACGTTAGCTTGTTGGCTCGCAGCAATAAGAGCTTCTACTAAAAGACAGGGCTTCGTCAGCTCTTTATTTCAGCTCTGCAGGAGTTGAGGGCAGTCCCTTTATTGGTTTGGCAGCTTTAATGCAGCAAATAAATGTCAAAATGTGTGAATTAGGGACATTTGTTCTCCGTTCTTCCTGCTGCTAGCATCCTCGTGTGCTAAATTAAAATAATGCGGAAAGGAAAAAGCCCCAGAAAAGCCGCACATAAAGTATAAGATTAAGAGGCCAATTAAGATTAAGATCCACATAAGCTGCATGGTTCAAAGCGTGGATAAAAAGTAGTGGCTTATAGTTCTTAAAATACGCTATATGAACATTGAGATCCCAACAGATATTGGATTTAATGTTTTAAAAACGCAATTGTTGTTTGCCCTGTTATTCTCTTTGTTGCCCTGATATAGATTGGCAACCTGTCCAGGGTGGACCCGCCTCTCGCCCGTAGACAGCTGGAGATCGGCACCAGCTCCCCTCGCCACCCCAGCAGGGATAAAGCGTGATGGAAAATGGATGGATGGTTATGAAGCGCTCTCACCACTGCATTAAACATAAATAATACTGTATGAATTTACCTAAGTAATGTGGTAACACTGATTAGGGCAACTTATTTTTTACATTATTTGTGGAAAACAGGAAATGCCAAAGTCATGTTAAACCTTGAAAGCACGATATCAATATAAAAAAGAACTTTGCAAAGGAAAACTGATCCATATTAAACATGCAGATTATAGAGCAGACGTTAATTAAAACAGTCATGAAAGAATTCAGACTGAAAGCAAAGCTGCTACAGACAGTAAGAACCATTAAGACCACGAGACATCTGCAGAAAACCCCGGGAGGAACATTCTTTTCACATGAAGCCATTGAGCTTAAACTTAAGAAGAAAAAAAATCAGCTTGTGTTGAAATTACTTGTTCCTGAACAGCTTCATCCGGAGGGGCTGGATGTAAGAATAGATCGGACCTTTTGTTTGAAAAAAAAAACAACTAACAGAGGAGCTACATCCAACTAAATGTGTCTAATAAAGACCGAATAACAGCGAATTGACCAAAGTTGAAGAGTTTGCTCAAAAAACGCTGAATGCCTCCACAGTCGCAGGGGCCCGACCTTGGAGAAGACCAACTGTGCTGGCTCTCAACATGTAGATCCCAGCGTCAAAGGAGCCAGAAGGGAAATTATTCTCTTAGTTGGCTGGCTTTTTTGATCTGAGACAACACTTTAATCCCGATGTTTTCCATTACATTGGTTGTTCCGTACACGTGTGTCCGTCTCCCACAGCAACCGTTTCTGCGAATAAACAGAAACGAGGCACTTGTGCATGTTTTTTGGCCCTCAGCGAAGTCCCTCTCCGCCAACAGACGCCAAACATTAAAAGAAACATGGACCAGCATATCATTAAGTCAAATAAATTCATGCAGGGATCATAAAATATTTACAAGGAATATTAAAAAAGTGACATGTGTTTCCATTGTTTCTCATTCATTGGATACAGAGGCTGCATCTGTATTTTTCATTTTAACGACTCCAAATATAAAGTAAAACGGTGCAATTTCCAGCAAGTACTTAGAGAACTGAATGCATCCTTCAGGTATATGCACCTGTATGTAGTTTCAGTCCCACAGTTAGTGGCAGCTTAAAGTGTTGGAGAATGAAGACTGCTGCTGAATAAGGTCAGAGTTCATCCTGTCAGGAGAACCACTCCAGCACTTATAAGACAGATTACAGTCTTTGAAGAACATTTTTTGTTTTTTACTGTAAAATATCTCTAACATTGTCTTTTTTTTTGACAAAGTACACCTAAAACATGGTTTGATGAGCAGATGGACACCTGAGCATTGCAGCACAGATGAATCTATTAAGCCTGTAGCCTAATTTTCTGAATGTACTTCAGGCTGAAAATTCCCGTGCTGTTCGGGGGATGTGACGTCCAGCAATCCGACTTAGCAAACAATTGAGGCGT